TCAGTCATGCAGGAGCAGCAGCAGCATCACCGCGGCTGTGTCGACGACCGTCATCATCAATGCTGTACCATGAGAGGGGAGAAAGGCATGGCACAGCGAGAGAGAAAAGTACGGGCGGGGGGGGGGGGGGGAACGCTGGGGAACGTATAGCAGGAAACGCTGGTGCCGCCACCGCGACGACAAATCGAAGGATAGAGAAAACGTGAACGGTGCGTTTGCCGTCTAAAGGAAGGAACCACACAGTCAGCCAGCCAGTCGGGAAGTTCTGTTCGAGGGACGTCCAGCCAGGGATATGAACGTCCAGCCAGCAGCAGAAGTTACAGCGCCTGTAACATCTCCAGTACCTTCCTTCGATGACTGGTTGTCAAAGCTCCTTTAATGCTCTTGCCTCTTCAGTTGCTGCTGCTGCCAGTGACTTGGAGCAGCAGCAGACGCAATTCGAGTATTAGCAGCCGCATTACAGATCGAGGCCAGAACGGCCTGCAGGCCGACTGAGCGGCTAACAGGCCAACACACAGTTCATGGACGGAATCCAGATGAGTCGTTGAAGCAACGACCACCGCAGCAGTTGAATACCGGCATAACAGGGTCGCTGTGATACCAAGAGCTCCTCCACTCTGCCTTGCTATACACAACAACCAGCGCCACCCACCACCCCCAGCGCCACCCACCAGTACCACTACTGTTATTGCTAGATGAATAGATCTATTGCTTCGATATAGAGATATCTTCGTTGTGCCCCTGGTATAACCGGTGCAGATGCAGCGTTTGCTGCAGACCGCCGAGTAGCTGTTCCATGAGAGGGGAGACGAGGGCAGGGGCCGTGCTCCCTCCCTTTCCGTCAAAGAAGACGAAGAAGTTGCCCCTGCTTCTCGTTCCTGCTGTTAATATTCTAAAGATGGCCGTGGTTGTTGTCGTCGTTTATTCTCCGCATCATCATTACTGTATGTTAGCCCCCACTTTGTACGAGAAGCATTCGAGAGAGCTTTGGCACATACGATGCGTTTCGCACATAATGCATGATTACATAATACCATTGTGCCTGTGCATGCATTTCCGTCTAAGATACAATAACAGGATTTAGTAGAAGTTCACGAAATTATCCTAGTCGTCGAATGTATATGGAGAGTGATTGTTCATGAGGTCACGTATTCGGGTAAACCAAGCTAGTCTCTCGATTGCTTGCGAGGTTTAGATTAGAACTCCATCTATTACTCGATAGATAAGCTTTCGACATCGCCAATAAGCTGACCATACTCAACAATTTCGTCGTGTTACAATTGTCTGCTAATTAGTGTAGTCTATCGTATTACTATTGCGCAAATAAGTGATAGGGAATTTAGAGAAACGTCGAACAGGTTTGGCAGGTTCGGGTTGACCCTATCTGTTCTTCTATTGTACATAGATCGATTAAAGCGACACTGCTTAGCCGAGTTACACAAGTTCAATAGAGCGGTGTCGATTGAGCACATGACTGATAGACGCACACCAAACGAAACTATAATCATAGATCAGCTTAGATAGGGCCCTGTTCATCTCTACTTGATTCTATTTTTCACTTACTCTTCACGCGTTTCTTCGCGGTCGCTGACCTATGGCTACCGATTTACGTCTTGACGATTTCCTACCTAATGCCACCATCCAGTCTATCTAAACAACACAGAGATATTTAACTTTTACATTTCTGCGTACCAATTTGTTGTTGTTGTTGTTGTTGCTCCCTTTGAATCGAAATCTTCTAACATTGGAACAGGACGGCTACGACGAGCTCTAACAATCAACACTGCTACCAAACGATTAAAACAAGAATACTAATATTGTCCAATAATACTGACGTTCGTTGTTTTCATAATTTCTCACGAATACGCATGTAGGTACAAGCGTACAGGCAGGCCCACTTGCGGACCACCGACGAACGCAGGCCGTTAGACGGACAGACAAACAGACAGGTAGACAGGCATACCTCCCACAGGCCGTTTTGGCATCGACTGTCGAGAGCGTCCGCGCCGACAAGCACAGCGCCAAACAAACAAATTGAAAGCGACTGGTACAGATATACAGAATAGGATACATTTAGCTGCTATTGAGGAGGGGCAACGAGATCGACACAGGTTGATGGAAAAAAAGGGCTAATAGGAGACAGAATGCCAGAAAAGTAAAAATGCGCCGAGTGTATCGATGCTAGCAGAAAGCTTTGTAGCCATTGTACTCTAATCTTACGCCATGCATACTCGATGTCTACGGACTGGCCAAGATGCTAGAGATAGGTCAACACTCTTCAATGCTAGTAGTACTGTAGCATTAGAGAAATAATAGCGAAACAGGTCATGTGTCCACGGTTGGTCCTGCTAATGCGTAATGCCCCGCAGTCTCACAGTAGCGGCAGCAGCCGCAGCAGTGATGTACACACAACCAGGCAGACGGTGACTCCAGCGAGCGTCGAATCGCCAATTTTACCCAGTGTAGTAATATTTACATAAGCGGCAAAGAAGCTACGAGCGATCAGCGGAGATTTACATCGTCAAATCAGCGATTGCCATTTTGATTCGATTGGCCTTATATTGAAGGCCAGAATATCTAGCGGCCACGTAGGTCAATGAGAAAGAGGAAAGATACACAGGAAGACCTGAACGGACGATTGGGCTTCAATTGTAACGGCCGCTAATGATCTTTCCTGGACCCCTATGTATTGCAGATACTATGACGGAGAAGCGCTGGCTGGCTGGCTGGCTGGCTGGCTGGCTGGCTGGCGTCGTCGATACGGCCAGTACAACTAAATAAGAAAAGCAAATGAAAACATGAGCACCGTTAAGAACTGGATTGTTTAGAGAAAAAACGTGCAATGCATTGAGCTTACCAATATAATAATCTGAAACTATTACAGATATTTTCATAGCAGTAGCAGGTACGAAATGCTCCGGCGGAGTTCTGAAAGCTGTTCATGTCCTATTAGAGATTGGATCAGATGCGCGAAGTTCAGGGCTGTCTTTTTTTCTCAGCTGTCCTGCTTACTTAGCAGGCACGTCAGCTCCGCTCTGATTTTCATTCTATTCATCGGCCTGTGGTATGAACAATGATTCGTTCAGATCCCTCGCTTATATCATTTCCCTATACGTTTGCTTAAGCGCCTGTGCAACTTTTGTACGGGTCTCATTCGATGCAAAGCGTCGCCTGACGCCAGCGGTTTGATGCTGCCGCCCATGCCGCTGGTATTCGCCGATGCGTTCATTGTCATTGTTGACTTTTTGAAGCTTTGGGACAATGCGGTGTTAGCATTATCGTATACGGCCACCGCCGCTCGTCAAAAAAAGTAGATACTGACCGCAGTAGTTCTTTAGCTCGTTTGCCATCCCGTGTTGAGACGGCGACGGCCGGTTCTTCATTTCCTCTTCTTGTTACAATAGCATCATATGATATTGGCCTATTGTCGTTATGATTATTGTTAGTCTGAAAAAAAAATTCTTCAGAACTAGATAGATAGATAGCAAGACAAGATGTCAAATAACGAATGCGGTTGATACCGTATCGTCTAGCCGACAAGCCGCCACGGTCGTCGGCATTTGAGAATCAAACGGCTGAGAAAAAAACCCATACGCAAATTCTCAGAGCATTTTGGGACAAACGCGCGCACTTTTCTCTGCCAAGCAAACGAAAAACGTGGAACCAAAAAAAAAAACACGTAGAGAATGAAAACGATCATCGTCGACGATGGTTTTACCGTGAAGACCGCTGCTGGCTAGAGGTAAACAGAGTTATCCCCAAAGCAAAGGGCTAACGATTTGGCAGCTCTTCACATATGTACGACTCGGCTCACTTGGCAATGCCGTCGTTGACAATACATCCGAATGAAACCGAACGCAAAGACAATGCTGGGAGTGTCCGTCGTATCGTCCCCGTACCCTTGTTCTCTTCCCAAACTCCGTCTGTCACCGTTCCATATTGTTGCTGCCGCCACAGCGGCCGGTCCCTGCTTGTTTAAAGTGCAGCCAGCATCTGTGTGCATTCACTCCTCATCGTTCTTGTCGCATGCTGTCAGCATGCGGCGATTGCTGCATCGCAGCTAACGATGGCCATAGACGACCATCATCCTGTCACAGTCAAATCCGAAACAACGGTACGGAAAAGAAGAAAACGAAATCCGTCGAAAACGTAGCAAAAAGAAAGACGAAAAAAAAAGAAGACGAAGAAGCTCCGTCACTTACGGCGTATAGTCGATACCTATCGCCGCAATATAGCTGCACCGCAAGCTACAGTATGATTGTGGAAAATGATCTGAGAGAGCCTCCCTCTAGGTGGATTCGACTTTCATCTGGACTCAACTCCTTTTCTGATGTTTGCCAGCTCGCGTGGCTCGTTTGGGTCCGAGCTTTGATTATCATTCCGGCAAAGCTGGGTGGCAATGGCCGTTGTCTTCGGTGCGGCTTTCAAGGTATTCGTTCAGCGTTAGCATGGCTAACAATGCCAATGGCATGTTATCGTTTGTGTGTTTGTAGCTCGCTAGCTTTTCTCCACTGCTAGCCGTCGTCGGCATTTTCGATCCGAAAAGTTGCCATAGATGCTAGTGATATAACGTGTATGGGAAAGCCATTTGCAATAGGTGGGGTTTGCCAATCTTGGATTTTAGAGCATTGCTGGTTATGGCGTCACATGATGCCCTCAAGCTGTGCTATGAACAAAAAGCAAACGCAGTCCGATAGAGTAAAAGCTAATAACGTCCGATCATATAAAGACCAAGTTGTTATCAATCTGAGGACAATCAGAGCGATCCGACTGAAACTGTTGCGGTTTCGTCGGCTTTCACCCGAACGATGACATTTTGTACGTCTCAGTTCGTAGTGATTGAGTACATTCTCGACCGCCAAATCACCTGTCGTGGCTAACCGGAGAGTTTACTCTTATAAAGAAATTCGGACATTGTTTCTCCCGAATTCTATTCTTAATTGTATGCCTTCTATGTAGATTTCACACCCGAACTCGCCGAAAATTAACGTTTCACTTACTGGTTTTGTAGGAAAGTTCTGAGATCGCAGTTCCATCGTCCGAAAAATGTCCTGAGTGATTCTGGTTGAGTAAGCCAAGTTCTGTAAGCCGAACACAATAAAAAATTATACATGTTTGTTATTACATACATAAACGCTGGCCTTAACGCGCAAATTGGGGAATCGTATAGCAAATATCAAACCAAGAAATGATGATGTAAAATACTGCACTTAATTAGCGAATTAAGATGAGGCGTTATTTGCGCCATAGGTGTGTACGCAGGGGAAGCTAGCAAACATCGTGCAGACACCAATTTTAATAGGGTCTACGATCCGATTTTGCTGTCGCAATGTAACCAGAACCAAAGTCCCCGAACAGGTCAACGAGGCCATCCTAATAAACCTAAATATAGCTCTCCGGAGAATTATAAACATTTTTTTTCTTCAGGCGCTATCAACTGGAAGCATAGTGAATTTGTGTATTCAACAGAAACGTCACGTGACTTTTTTCGCCTCCGTACGGCATATCTCTCATATGTCTCTATTTTTTTTTAAACCGCCATACCGCAAGTCGCCACGCTCATCCGGGGTGATCGTGTATTCAGCTCTCCATGCTGCCGCTGTCATTTTCTACGGGCGCATTAGAAATCTTCGAAGAAAAACCACTGATAGCTGAGAGCCCCGACACGGTAGACGTGTCAGTCGCAGTATGCGCTAAAAAATCAACTCAAGCTCGGATCGGATCGGCCCAGCCAGGCCGTGGTTTCTGTGTTGCACCGTGGCCTGTGTCCCGCTGTGAAATGTGAGATATGAATATCGGCCTCGCTTTTTTAAGGCTGCGAGGATGGCTTCATTAAACTTAACAGAGAAGAAAAATCCGCCAAATACAGATGCAGACGCCATTTCAGAGACTAGGGAATGGGGGTACTCTCTAACCAGCTCAAAGTAAGTAAGATCTTGACTATGACGTCTGTTTGAGCAAAAAAAAAGAAGGCAAACAACTACAAAAAGGCATTGACGCATTGTCATATAAAGCTCAGCAAAAAAGATGAATGCTGCAATACGCCTTTGGTGGTATCCGTATTTATATACACAGGTATGCTGATATTCGTTCCTGAATCTATACCTAGTGTTTGCAACAGGCCTACTATGTTCCCGCCGAGTAGGACCAACTTTATGTTTATATTTTAAAAATCGTTTTCTATAAATGATTTATGCCACCACACTCATTCACATATACACACAAAGATACGCTCGATTCTATTACTCCTCAAATACGCGCATGCTGTGCCTTTAGGCCTAGCCTATGCCTAAACTCAAAGCAGGCTTAGCAACATTAACCTTATAGAACAATATTCAGTCATTAATCGTTAACCAATTGTATGGCTGGCGTATTTTTCGCTAATATTTTCTCTGCTTCCTCCCAAATGCGAAATCGATTTCATTGCATGGCCAATGAAGCAGTCACCAGCTTGGCCATGCTCGGTACTGATGGTATCATGGCATATTTGTTCCTGTGCTATAGATCCCATTACGGATTTACTCAGTCACGCTGCAGCCAGTGCACCGGGAGGAAGAAGACTGACTGTTGAACGAATGGATGAGCATTTCTTAAGCTCGGCTTCGCTTAGAGACCCTTGCTGATATTGGTGCTCGCCATTCTCGTGCTGATGCGGTTGGTTCAGCTGTGATTCAGCTCCAGATTGTTACTGTTCTACCGATTTACTCTTCTTGCCTCCCAGCAGAGCAAGCTGCAGTTAGGCCAAGAATCACTGCCGCTGTGATACTTATGGCAGCGAGACCTCGCGCTCGACTTTCCAAATGATCCGTAATGTTTTAATTGTCTCTCCATTGCCCCCGCTTCACCTGTCGCGGTTCCCTGCCCACTGCCGAATGGCGTTGTCCTTCTCGTATAAATGGTAGCATGAAAAAAGACGAGATGGATTTTGGTTATTTCGCAACGGCTCGATCCGTCCTCTCTGCCTCCCTCTACAGGAGGTATTTCATATGGACAAACGGCAATCACCAATAAGATCAGTTAGCAAGTGGTGGCACGCCTGCTAACGTTACCCTGCAGCTACCCTGAAGCGAACATCCATACAAACTATCTGCTGCTGTTGTTGTTGCTTGTAGCTATCGTTACCGCAGTCGTAACCAGAGTGCGGTGATGATAGCGCACGCCTTAGGTTATAGTCTAGGTTCGTGCTAGTCTATTCTCGCTAGTGGTCGGTCCTGGTCCACGACAAGAGCCCATTTCGCCGCAGTTATATCTCCGGGTCATTGTAATCGCAGTGATTGAGCAGGACAATTGATCGCCGGCGTCCATCAGCGTCACCAGCCACTGCAGCTTTGCCCGCGTCACTACTCCCTACAACGCAGTTATTAAACGCGCAAAAACAACGTTGAAGGGATGGAGTTACAGAATCGCATTAACAGCTCATAGACTGTAGTTCAAGTGCAATAGCAATAACATGACCAGCGACGGTATCACTAGCTGAGAGTCAGTATGGCGTTTCCAGGTGCATAATATGATAGATATGGTAAGCATTTCTTGCTTCGACGAGCTGCCACCAGCACGATCATTCCATCAGCGGTTATGTCTGTGTGAGTGTGAATTGACAAACGTGGCCTTCGCGAAAATGAAAGGAAGAAAGAGGACAAGACGTATATATATATAGATGTGTGTACGTGCGTGTGTGTATGCGTAGAACCGCAATGGTAGTAGTAGTAGTAGGAGCGGCGGCAAGAATCGTCGTAGTTGTAGAAACGGTCATTGCTATAGAAGTGGCTTTGTTTGTTATCTTCACGTTTGAAGCTAATCGTCGACACTCACTCCGTTTGTTGGCGGCAGCGGCAGCAACAATAGCAAGCACGATATTGCGCATTCGATTCATTCGTCTGGCCAGCCCTTTGTCATTCTCCATTTCATGTATGAGCTGTCCTGTCGCGCCTCACGCGCTGGCAAGCATCCGGGCTAACAGATTCTTGCTCAAAACAAAGGAAAAGCCAGTTGGCTACCGGCATCAAAAATGGCCACAGCGGCAGCTACATTGGCCACGCCGCCGCCGATTTGTGACTGGCAGAACTGGCAGGTCCTAGATTATAGCTTCTAGGCCTGCCTGCTGTGTTTCCAGTACGTTACCAAACGTTCGGTGCTGACGGTATGGCAGAGACCTTTGCAAGGTATCCGTCGTCGTTCTCTGTTCGTCTGCTGCCACCAGCTTCGTCCCGTTTAGAAACTGCTATGGAAAGATCCCAAAGACAACAACTGCAGCAAAGATGGCAATAACGGCCGTAAACAAGGTACACGGTATTATTACGATTCGATGGTTACGGAGGAACGTCCCAGCCACCCACTTAAATCGATTTAGTAGCTGCGGCAGCAGCACCAGCACCAGCACCATTAATATTGGTACGAAAATGAGGCACCAGAAGGAAGAGCGGATAACCTGTTCAAGTCAAAAGTAGACAGGCGCCTAGATTTTTAAACGCTAGTAAAAAGAAGAATTTGCAGGTTCCGCACAGGCAGTAAACCCAAATAATCGCCAAGTCTTGAGCAACGTTTGCCATACTCAAATATATGTAAGAACAGATTCCAGCTGTTGTACGTGGCACAAGTGATCTGAGGAAAAAGGAATCGAGAACCTATTTCATCTATTTGAATTGACTTGGATTAGATAGATCTACAGACGTACATCCTACATATATAACCTAAATTGAAGCAGACGTGCCTGCACTCATTCACTACACCTGGCACCGGACGGAAGTCTGGTACAACAATAAGACAACTAACCTATCATAGGGAGCAACAGTGTATCGCTGTCGAAAATTAAGCGAAGATCAACTTCCACCCCATTTTTCCAGGCTGGACAAAGGTTCACAAATACTAAAAACCTTTCTACTCTATGGTCTGCGAGTTTTCATGCAGTTGCTAGACCAACGAAGGCTTTTATGGGGGGAAATCTTTTTGACAGAATGCAGATCTAAACGGCTAAAAACAATTGTTCCAAATGGCTCGCAAAGCCATTCTTGACACATCCGATTTCTTTTTTTTGCAATTTTAAACCCAGGCATTTTTGGCATCCTTGGCGTGCTATCGTCCCAAAATAATTCCGTTGAAATTTTCTCTGCAGCGTATTTAAACGACGCTTCATCGAGTATATGGCTACCATTAACGAAGCGGTTTGCGGTGTAAAGAAGAAATGGTCGGAGAATGATTAGTGAGCAGCTTAAGTTGCAAGTTAGAACTGTGACTGCAATGAACGGTGACTATACTGAATCAGCATGATTCAGAAGAACCACATTTCTAAGACGCCATTGAGGTGTCTGTGTTTATTTTAAATATAGTCTTAAAAAACAATTCCCAGACAAAGAATATATTAAACAGTAATGGTGTAGCATGTTTGCTATTATGCAGTATAACATAAAATCGTCAGCGTGAAACACACTTAAAATAATACTATTATCTTAATTTTCTTCGCCTCAGAGTATTTTTTTCCCTTCATATCTCTACTAGAACCCCATCTTGCCTCAATAGAACACAGTCATTACGCATGAATCGAACCGTATCGGGTCCATATCACTGACAACAGGCAGCCGGTCAAACAATCTATATATTGAATTCCCTTCAGGACAACAATAATGCAGTAGCTCATCCTTTGATACCTTCTTTGACGGGTCCATCTTTACATCTCGCCATCAGAGCGCCATGGCTACGTAGCTACAGCCGTCGTCTCGTGCTATATGTCTGCCTGCTTCCGACTGTCTCTCCACGCGACGTTGACATCTTCGGCCCGTTACAGTTTCACTGCCCACTTTTAGGGCTTTCATTACGCGTTCGAAGGTGCTCTACGGATGAGCCTCTAGTAGGCTCATTCTCTTCCTGGTCAAGTATCTCTCTGTCATATATCGGTCACAAGAAGGCCGTGTCATTGTTCCTCTTCGTCATATTTTCAACGCGGCAGCCAACAAGTCAGTTCGATTTAGCCCAGAGCCGAGGCTCCCGCTCGAGGGCTGCATAGACAGTTACCAACTGATAGTGCCGCTGTACCCATGCCGTCGTCACAATGCGCTTGTTTCTCAGCATCACAGCGTTCCCATTG